TTACAAATAAAACTGGTAAAAATACTAGTTTAGAATAATAAAACAAGTAATAATATTTGATTTATTTTACAATTATTTGAAATAAGAACAATTAAATTAAATTTATCAATAACATTCTAAAGCCCTAGATACAATATAATTATCAATATAAGCTTGTGCCTTTGTGCAACATCTATGACATATTAAGTGAATTTAATGTTAAAGCAATATAGTATTATTTGGTAAATACTTGATAATAGCTGGAACATGCATACATAAAATCTTTAGGTTAGGTCAATATATTGTCATTAGCCTAAAAACAATGTTACTAATCTATTTCTAGTGCCCTAAACTATTATCACATTTACATTAAATAAAATAGAAAATAAATAGGAGTCTCCGTACTATGTATTATGGATAATAATTACTGATAATATATTTATATGAATTAATAAAAGAATATAATTATATGAACACACGAATGACCGCCAGATCCTTCTCGGGCTGACAGTACACCACTCGACCCCTTATGACATTGATTTGTTGCTTAGTTTTAACATTAGGGTAGACATGTGTGGCCTCTACCAAAGCCGTGAGCTTGACGTACACGTACTGCCAGTCGTCAACCACGTGACAGTTGGTTATAATGAGTCCAGACTTGTCCACAACAAATCCCGTGCCTTTGGATGCATTTTTCATGAAAACCATTACCACTGATGGCAGCGATTGATTGTATGTTTCATCTGTTCCGTCGCCAACGGATCCAACAAATGAGCGATTCTTGTAGTTATCAATGGTTTAAATGAAATGTTTGTGACTTTTTATGGTATTGTTGTTGTCGTTGTGTCCGATGTGTTAATACCGATAATTACCGCCAATTATGGTCGAAACCAATGCCGACATAAGTAATGGGAAACTAATTTTTGTTTTAAAAATAGATTTTGTGATCAACATTTTGTTTAATAAAAAGTGAATACTTTTTGCTGTATTTCCTGATTAAAACTCTCAATAAATACATATTTTATGATTTTATTTGTTTATAAATTAAGTTATTTCTTATTTTTTCAATGAATTTGTGTTCAAATCTATAATTGAATTAATGTAACGAACATTTAAATCAATCAATAAATACAATAATTGAAATGAATGTAAATTTCATGTAATAATAATTGTTTTTATTTGTATATCAAATGAATTTTTTGAATGACAGAGAAATACAATGAAATGAACAGAAAATTTGGTTTAAAACTAGTCATAAAATATCAAAACAAAAATGAAACATAAATTCAAAAAAAGCTAACTAAAAAATAGGACGAAAAATAACAATAAAATAACTAATGAGACAATTGTTGGCTGAATATAATTAAAACACAGAGCAATTGAATTCATAGACATTACACTGGATGTACAGAGAAATACAATGAAATAAATAGAAAATAGAAAACTAGTCATAAAATATCAAAATAACGATTCATACATGAGTTAAATAAGTGAACATTTATGATAATAACGCCTATTTTTTGTGGTCGTCGTACCACTGCTTCACCACAGCGTCCGCCTCTTTCTTCTTCTGCCAATACAGAGCCTGAGGTAAGATAGCTTTGGGGTTGACATCAAAGCCCATTACAGTCCAGAAAATTTGATGACCGATGAGAACAACTGAATCCCAATCTAATGTGATTGAAATGTTGGGAGTTTTAGTCGACGGAGTTTTTGTCGAGTCGGCAGAACTGGTCTTAATTTTCCTATTATTGTTTTAATGATTAATTGATTTATTAGTTAATTAATTATAAATTCAATACAAATATAATTACTTCAAATCAGTCTTGCGATGAGAAAAAAAATAATACTCTGCCATCACTTCGCCCTTATCTATAGAGTTTTGGTGTTTGGATGCGTCCAACCATTGTTTGGACTCCATTTTGGTCACAATATTTGACACCAATTCAGACAAGTCTTGTCTCTTTACACTAATACTAAGATTCATTTATTAAAATCTATGCTATTATTTATAAATATTATTATGAATTCAACTCTATTTAATAATCACTCAAAGTATGTTTTAATTCAAATCTATTTCAATAAAATTCAATTAAATATTCAATTAAAGCCTCAATTGTCTGAACAAAGATATCAATCAATAAGATTGGTTTCAAACAGACATTAAAATCAACTGAATTTGAATTTTCTATTGAAACAATACATAAAACGAGAGTAAATAAAGTTTTAATTATTGCACTCTATATTAACACATTGTTTAATTCAAATGTGTCTGAAATAAATGAATTAATTATTAAATAAAATAAAATAAAACCGAAATTAATTTTTAATGATAGGAAACGAAAATTGGACTTAAATTGATATCTATTTTACTATTAAATTAAACCAAAGTTTAAAAACGAATTAACAACTGAATAGTTGTGATAATCTCCAGGCAATGGCTTAACCTTAATCTCCACATCCAATCCCTTTCTATCGACCGTCAGGTTTAACGGCTGGCCATCAGTTAGTGCTTCAATTAGATATGCAACTTATTTTCCCTGTTAGAGGGATTCCACGGGGATTCCCTGTTCCCTGTACAGGGAAAATACAGGGCAGGGAAATGAGATTCAATGAACAGGGCAGGGACAGGGAATCCCTGTAACCCTTAGAGGAAATCCCTGTAACAAAATTTCCCTCTAATTTCCCTGTAATACAGAAAGTGAGTGATAATTGTGTTAATATTTGTGAATGAATTTTTTGTTCTCTTAGATACAAAGGGGTTGTAATACAGTTAAATCGTTATAATAGAGTTTTATTTCACGTTTATTTATTAAAATAATGAAATATAATAACTAAATCAACGTTTTTATAGGATATATCTATTTAAAAATGTTTACAGGGAAATTACAGGGAATCCCCGGGGTTCCCTGTTAGCCTCTACAGGGCAGGGCAGGGATTCCCTCTAAGCAAAAATCACAGGGAACAGGGCAGGGCAGGGAAATGAAAATTGGAAAAAGTTGCATATCTAGCTTCAATCGCTTTATCCAATTGCGAAAACGTAGTAAAAGTGGTGCCATAGATTTGCTTAATACAATCGTTATAAAAAATATTTTGGTACTTTTTGTGCAAAAAAACACGTAAACTAATGTTATGTTTCAACACAAAAACCATTATATAATGAAAAACACAAACTCTGGGACATCGGGTCGGGTATTAATGGGCGGAACGGAAACCACAAATCTATTGCCCGGTCTCTGCTCTACGACTACTCCCAACGATCTCTTGCCAGACATCGAGTACTGCTTTATCTCTCTTTTCGTTTAAACTCTTTGCCATTTGTCTTTCAATTGTACCCAGGGCCGATTGCAATCCCAATGAGTTTAAAACTTTGAACTACCACCCCATAGAGCTGCCACAGAGCTTCAACTGTACCGACACAGATCACCAATAAAACCCACCCCAGTGCAAAATGTTATTATCTAACGAAACTGTAACCCAAAACCAACTTACGGTGTACTTTGACCAGTGTCGCACCTCTAAGCGGTGGTAGTGCTAATTCCCATACCTATTGGTAGATCAATATTCTTTAGTGTGTACACGCATGCGCTGGAAAGGGTTTTATTGGGAACCACTTACGGTACACTTTGACCTATGCGTCAGCTTTTAGCGGTGGTAGTGCTAATCCCTGAGCTATTGGTAGATCAATATTCTTTAGTGTGTACACGCATGCGCTGGAAAGAGTTTTATTGGGAACCACTTACGGTATACTTTGATCTATACGTCAGCTCTTAGGGGTTAGTCGAGGAATTAGACGAGTTTAGTGGTACAGTCGAAAATGGATATAATATACACATGAAATTTTCGAAAAGTGGGGATTATAACAATGTGTTGATTATAATGAACTTGTATTCACTCCATGTATAACTATTTTAGACTCTAATTATAATATCGTAATTATGTTTTAAAACAGTTTATATCGAGTTTAGTCAACATTTTGTTAAATTTGCAATGATTTTAAAAATAATTTTACTATTTTTGTATAATTTTTACAGTCCTAAAAAAGTGGGGACACTATGTAAGTATATTTTGTATGGCTTTCAATGTGGAGTATTTTATATATTGGGGGATTATAACGATGTGGGGATTATAATGAAGACAAAAATGTTGATTATAACGATACTAGTTTAACATTATATGAATGGCAAATGACTTATGAATCATAAGTTATGATTTCAAAATATGGGGATAGTAATGATTTGTTCATACTATTGAGTGTATATACTATCCATTCTCGACTGTAATTACAATCAGGATCTGATTGGAGTTAATCTAAGATACAACTAAACAGTTGAGAGACTAATCAAAGAATGATTGAGAATAGCGTAAGAGCTATGAGTGAAATGTGTTTTATAGAAAAAGGAAATACAAATTTAAACCAATAGAGAAAGTAATGGAAAGTTACGGTTAAAACAAATGATTACAAAGGAATGTCTCATTAAATAACGTTTAAATAAGTGCTGTAAGAATATAAAGAATTTATTATGAATTAATGAAAACACATTTAATAACTATTTAAATAACAGAAAAGTTGTGATAATCTGTAGTCAGTAATTTAAGGTTTAAATGTTTAGTCTCTCCCGATCTGTCGATCTTAAGCTTTAACGACTGGTCATCCCTAAGGCTTTGCAACTCTTCCTCTAATTGAGTGAACGATTTAAGGGGTTTGCCATTGATTTCCAGAATCCAATCATTAATTTGCAAATTATTTCTACAATATTATAAAAATTGTTTTTTACATGTTTTTAAAACAAATGCAGTAATTATTTTTAAAAATGTAATCCAAGACTAACTCCGAGACATTGAGGGGACGATTGATAGCCGAAGACATCACCCAAAATGTATTTGACTTTAGTTTTAAGGCCACTCCAAGAGATCTCTTGCCGGCCATTGAGTACTCGTCTCTCATTGTCTTCAACTCAAACTCTTTTGCGTTTTTCAAAACCACTTTTATTTAACAAATTGTAAAAATTAAAAAACATTTAGTTTATGAATACAATCACACTCTTCCACCCGTTTCCCACTAATAGCTCATTGGTTGACATACCGGTGGCATCGGTGGCCAGTGGTCCACTTCCCGTAAAAAGTCCACAGCTTTCTATACCGATAACAACGCCCTTACCATCGAGTATAGGACCGCCGGAGAAGCCTTGGGTGGAAGGCGTTAAGTGCTCCACATGTCTGCCCAATAAGTAGAAGTTCTTTCCGCTATAATTATAGTCCACATCAATGGCAATGGAAGGACTGTCCGACCCTTTCAACACACCCGGAGCTGTACTCCACGATTTATCGGGAAAACCAAAGAGTAGTACCGGTTCGCCGGGTTTCAGGTCCTGGCGATCAGACAATACAAGTGCCGGCAATGCGTTCTTCTTTACGTACAGCCGAATGACCGCCAGATCCATATCGGGCTGACAGTACACCACTCGACCCCTTATGTGATGGATTAGTCCTTTAGTTTTATAATTAGGGTAGACATCTGTGGCCTCTACCCATTTTGTGAGCTGGACGTACACGTACTGCCAGTCCTCAACCACATGACAGTTAGTTATAATAAGTCCAGACTTGTCCACAACAAATCCCGTGCCATTGTTTTCCGCTTTTGTAAAAACCATTACCACTGATGGCAGCGACTGATTGTATACTTGTTTTATCTGTTCCGTCGCCAACGGATCCAACAAATGAGCGATTCGTGTGGTTAGCGATGATTTGAATGTAGAGTTTGTGTGACTTTTGGTGGTATTGTTGTGACGGATGTATTCATACCAATCATTACCCGCTATTATAGCCGGTATTGACGCCACTAATGGGACACTGATTTCGGACATAAATATTAGATTGTTAATAATTTTTATTAAAAAATGTTAACCTTTTCTTGTATTTTGTTAAAACACTTTTCAATCGATACATATTAGAAAAATTATTAAATATTATTTTTTAACAGAAAACAATATTTAAATAATTTTTACAAAATTGTTATCAATTATAAATTTGTTTCAAATAACAGTAAATATGAAGATTGTGTATAATTTAAATTTTAAAACAATTTATATGATTGCATATCACGTTTTGCATAAATTTTCTGTAATTTTAATCAATAGTTTTAATAATAATAATTAATTATTTGCAAAATAAATATCCATGAAATATCCAAATAAATAAACAAAATAATAACATGTAATTTGTTAATAAATTTATAAATTGAACCATAAAGTGAAGAATTGAGAGTGAATTTACAAATACAAATAATAAGTTATTATTAATATCGATTCAAACATGAGTTAAATAAGTGAACATTTATGATAATCTTCATGCAGTGGCGTAACCGCTATATACCTAATCTTAGTCCGTCTGGTAATAGTAAGCCATACCATAGTTTTGCGATCACTAAGGCTTTGCAACTCTTCATCCAATTGAGTGAACGAATTAAGACGATTGCCATTAATTTCTTCAATTGTATCATCAATTTGTAAATCATGTCTACAATTAATATTATATTAGAAAATAGTTTATCACAAGTTTTATAAAAGATTCGCTCAATTATATGAAAACGTAATCCAAGACTAACTCCGAGACATTGGGGGGACGATTGATGGCCAATGACTTGACATAAAATGTTTGTGGCGTTTCTCTTAACATCACTCCGAGATATCTCTTTCCGGCCATTGAATACTTCTCTCTCATTGTCTTCAACTCAAACTCCTTTACGTTTTTCAAAACCACTTTTATATAAAGTTTTAAAAATATAAAAAACATTTAGTTTGTGAAGACATTCACACTCTCACACCCGTTGCCCACTACTAGACCATTGGTTGACATACCGTTAGCATCGGTGGCCAGCGAACCAATTCCGGTAAATTTGGATCTACCCGTATGTATACCGACGACAGCGCCCTTACCATCGAGTATAGGGCCGCCGGAGAAGCCGGGGGCAGTCGGTGCCAAGTGCTCCATATGTCGGCCCATTAGGAGAGAGTTTACGTTTACATTATTACTCGGGTCCGACTTTTTCAACACACCCACTGTTGTACTCAACGATAAGTCGGGGTAACCAAACACTAGTACCGGTTCGCCGGGTTTCAGCTCCTGGCGATCAGACAATACAAGTGCCGGTAATGAGTCCTCCTTCACGTACACCCGAATGACCGCCAGATCCTTATCGGGCTGACAGTACACCACTCGACCCTTTATAACATCGACTGTCGTCACAGTTTGCTTATTGTGAAAGAGATGCGCGGCCTCTACGGGTGCCGTGAACTTCACATTCACGTACTGCGAGTCCGCCACTACGTGACAGTTGGTTATAATAAGTCCAGACTTGTCGACAACAGTTCCGACTCCAGTCATACTTTTTGAGACAACCATTACCACCGATGGCAGCGCCAGATTACCTACTTGTGTGATCTCCTCCTTTGCTAACGGATTCAATAAATGAGCGATTCTTGTAGTTATCAATGGTTTGAATGAAGAGTTTGTGTGACTTTTGGTGGTATTGTTGTGACGGATGTATTCATACCAATCATTACCCGCTATTATAGCCGGTATTGACGCCATTAATGGGACACTGATTTTGGAAACAAATATTAGATATTTAATAATTTTCGATAAGAAATGTAAACCTTTTCCTGTATTTTGTTAATAAACTGTATAATCGATACATATTTGTAAAAATATTTAACCGTATTTTTATCAAAAAACAATATTAAAAATATTTTGGCAAAACTGTTAGAAATTTGTTTCAAATAACAGTTAATACAAAGATTGTGTATAATTTAAACATTTAAATTTTAAAACAATTATATGATTGCATAATAGGTTTTGCATAAATTTTCAGTAATTTTAATCAATAGTTTTAATAAGTAATTAATTATTTGTTTTACAAATTTGTAATTTGTTAGTAAATTTATAAATTGAATTATAAAAGTAAGAATTGGGAGTGAATTTACAAATACAAATATAATAACGATTCAAACATGAGTTAAATAAGTGAACATTTATGATAATCTTCATGCAGTGGCGTAACCTTTATATTCTTAACTTCATCTATTCTCAACCGATAAACCGTAAGCTCTAACGGCTGGTCATCCCTAAGGCTTTGCGACTCTTTCTCCAATTGAATGAACGACTCGACGGGTTTGCCATTGATTTCTTCAATCCAATCATTAATTTGTAAATCATTTCTACGATTATTTAAAAATAGTTTACCACATGTTTTATAAAATATTCGCTTAATTATATGAAAATGTAATCCAAGACTAACTCCGAGACATTGAGGGGACGATTGATAGCCGAAGACATCACCCAAAATGTATTTGACTTCAGTTTTAGCGCCACTCCGAGATATCTCTTGCCATCCATTGAGTACTTCTCTCTCATTGTCTTCATCTCAAACTCCTTTGCGTTTTTCAAAACCACTTTTATTTAACAAGTTTTGAAAATATAAAATTAATTAGTTTTCAAAGACAATGTTATTACATTCTCTGACTACGTGGTGAAAGTATACCGTAAGTGGTTCCCAATAAAACCTTTTCCAGCGCATGCGTGTACACACTAAGGAATATTGATCTACCAATAGGTATGGGAATTAGCACTACCACCGCTTAGAGGTGAGACACTGGTCAAAGTACACCGTAAGTGGTTCCCAATAAAACCTTTTCCAGCGCATGCGTGTACACACTAAGGAATATTGATCTACCAATAGGTATGGGATTAGCACTACCACCGCTAAAAGCTGACTACGTGGTGAAAGTATACCGTAAGTGGTTCCCAATAAAACCCTTTCCAGCGCATACGTGTACACACTAAGGAATATTGATCTACCAATAGGTATGGGAATTAGCACTACCACCGCTTAGAGGTGAGACACTGGTCAAAGTACACCGTAAGTGGTTCCCAATAAAACCCTTTCCAGCGCATGCGTGTACACACTAAAGAATATTGATCTACCAATAGCTCAGGGATTAGCACTACCACCGCTAAAAGCTGACGCATAGGTC